CGGACAGAGACATAGGCAGACAGGATAAAGACATAGGCAAGTCGGACAGAGACATAGGCAGACAGGATAAAGACATAGGCAAGTCGGACAGAGACATAGGCAGACAGGATAAAGACATAGGCAGGCAGAATCGAGACATGGGTGGGCAGGACATTGACATAGATGTTGAACGTGTTCTTGGTTCTTTAACTTTTTAGCCTCCTTCTTGCCTTCTCCTCGCTTGTCAAAACAGGGTGAGCATTTGCTTTTTCATCCTTTTACCAAAATTTTTCGGACCAAACGAAACTGCGCAGATAAAAAAACACTGCTGTGTGCTACCAGCATTCAAATTACTAAAATAGATTTCTAAATAGATTATGGAATTACAGCACATAACTCAGTTGTGCAGTACAAACTTTTTAAAGTGCAAGGATGTGACATGACATTTATATTCCCTTATCCTGGTTGGGGTCGTGGGGGGGGGGGGGGGGGGGGGGGCTGGAGTCTATTCCAGGCAGCACAGGGCATGAGGGAGGGGAACATCGTGGATGGGATACCAGCGCATCACAAACCTCATGCACCAACACGGTCAAACACTACAGACAATTTATGGACACAGACAAGCCTGATTGCAGGCCTTTTGCCTGTGGCAAGAAACCAGAATAGCTGTTAAAAACCCACATTGAATATAAATTTCAGTTCTTTAAAATATACATAGAACAAAGAGGAACACCACATTTTCAAATACAACTGAATAACATATTTTGTCTGTGGCTACAAAAGTGGCCAGCAAATCCCAATTTTATTTCACCGCCCATTTCACCGCTATGTTGAAATAATTGCCTCATCTATGCCCCCTCCTGGTGAACAAGGAGAGTGTCCAACATCCCACGTCTTGCATAGAACCGCTTGAGAAAAGACAAAAATCTGCCGCTGTCAGAAAGGGAATCCTGGACCAAGATCTCAACCTCTCTCGCGTCCGCGTGCGACACACAGTCATCCTGCACGACAACATCATGTCTAGACTCTTGGGTCATTTGCTTTAGGTCCTCAGCTTTCCGGGGAGGTAGAATAACAAATGGTGAGGTCATTCAACAAGCTGAAAAGAGAAAGAGAGAGAATAAGTTTGGGAAGACATTAAGCCCCACCCACTCTCCAGGCACCGCCTATCGCAGGGCACGTATGCATACATTTAGTAATGGCCGAAGATACATGCAGATGTATTTTAAAATACGATTCCAAATTGCCTACTTGTAAGTATATCAAAATAAAATATCCAAATACAGTGGAGCCTCGAGTTACCGCCGGACTGACATACGAACAACTTGGGATACGACCAAAATTTTAGTTCTGATTTAAGACCAGTCTTGAGTTACGACTCGAATGCCGGTCGAGGCCAAAACATGTATCCTATTGTGTGTTTGTAAATAAAGAGCCGAAATGCCCGAGAGGCGTTCGTAAGCGGCAGGCTGAGCCCAGATATGCCTGTTTGTGGTCGTCATTTCGGTCAGTGCTTTATATAATTCATTTCGCTAATAGCTATCAAAATGGCCCCAAAAAAAGCTATAAAAGAAGCTAAGGAAGGAAGAGACGGTAAAGGAAGAAATCACAATCAAAAAGAAGAAGGAAATTGTGCAGAAATATGAGAGTGGTGTTCGTCTGACAGACTCATTAATATGTTCAACACATATGTTGAAATGACACTGATTCCATATCAGACAAAAAGGTTGAAACAACGTTGATCTTCAATCTTTCACTTTATATCAACATTGAATCAAGGTTTTGCCACCATCAACTTTCCAATATTGAAAATCTGATTTAAAAAAATCAATTCAGTTTCAACGTTAATAATTTATCACTGACCATAATTCAACGCATTTAACTATAATTCAACGTTGAAACAATAACATGATGCTATCTGGGCCATCTCGACAATCTACAAAAATTTACCTTCCATTTCATCCTTCCCCTCATCCCTGCAAGTCGAAGATGTCAACTTGAATGGTGAGTGCAGTATGAAATTGTCCTTTCTGGTATGCTAGGCAAATTTTATAACTTTTTGGTGAGTATAATAGGAAAATTATTGGTGTTTTTGCTAAATGACACACATTATACAACCCTTTTTATTATGTCATGGTTAGGTAAGGAGTGCTTTGGGAGGTTCGGAATGCATTATGGGTATTTCCATTATTTCTTATGGGAAAAAAAGTCTTGACTTAATTTAAGTTAATGTTTAACTAACAGTTTGTTAATGACACATAATTGTATAATGATTTAGCTACTTGGTGCTTGGTATTGAAGGACCTACTTTGCATCAGCAACTCTGACTCAGTGACAAACAAGTCATTCATTATCAGACACCTGATAGCACCTTTTATCCAGTTCCGATGAGTCGAAGAATCCAGGAAGGCAGGGAGTGAAAGACAAACAAGATGGAGGAAAGCCTGCATTAAACTAGTTTAGATGGTATTACAAGAGGAAAATATAAACAGGAAATCATAATGTTGGACGTGATCCGTATGATATGAAGAGAAGAGATTTTTCAATTGAATTGAAAGACTTACCTGCTTGATAAAATACTTCGTTGTTTGAGTTTTGCTTTTGCATTTGCATGCATCGTCATGCAGTATTTTACAGTATTTTTAAACGACAAAAATACAAAGCACTAAAGTATTTTGATACAAAATATGAAGCCATTTTCATCAACCCTTTGAAATACAAATTACAAATTCCTATTGTGTATTTGAAATAGATATTTTAAATACATAGATCATAAACACTGCCTGTTCCTGCATACTCTCACACACTAAAGGCAATTTAGACGCACCAATTAGCCAAACTGCATGTTCTTGGACTGCAGGAGGAAACCAAATAACCAGCAAGAAACCGATGCAACATGGGGAGAGCATGGAAACACATGCAACACGGGGAGAACATGCAAACACACGCAACACAGGGAGAGCATGCAAACACATGCAACACGGGGAGAACATGGAAACACATGCAACACAGGGAGAACATGGAAACACATGCAACACAGGGAGAACATGCAAACACATGCAACACAGGGAGAGCATGCAAACACATGCAACACGGGGAGAACATGGAAACACATGCAACACAGGGAGAACATGCAAACACATGCAACACAGGGAGAACATGCAAACACATGCAACACGGGGAGAGCATGCAAACACATGCAACACGGGGAGAACATGCAAACACATGCAACATGGGGAGAGTATGCAAACACAATCAACATTGGCAGAACATGCAAACATATGCAACATGGGCAGAACATGCAAATACACGCAACATGAGGAAAACATGCAAACTATACACCCAGACAGCAAAGGTGACAGAGGTGGCCATACTACCCACTGAGCCACAATGCAACATGAGTGAATATATCAAAAATCATCTACCAAGTACAGTAAATTTTCACCATCTGATGTCTATCCAGTTCTGTTTGATCCCCTTCATGTTAAGCTGAGGTTAAGTTCCTTTCTCTAGTGTCCTGGGCCAGTTTATTAACAGCAACATTCCAATGGTCCAATTTCATTCATTCAAACTGCGGAGCAAGAGAGGCAGAGGCAGCCAGAAAAGAACATGGTCACTATGAGAAAGAGTTTGGGAGGGCTTGGCGGAGGGACTACATCCATTAGATATTAAGATATTAATTGCATTATCGATATCCCATCAAGAAGAGATGGGATCGCATCACTTTAAGTGCTCCGTCTCACTCCATGCCAGAAACGGCTGCCACGGTGACCGGCAGATGAAAGCAGGCAAGGATTCGCCATCCGACCAGCAGCTGGCAGGCAAGATAAGCTGTTTCTGGCCGAGTCAAAACGCTTCTACTCCAGCACGTGCAGTGAGAAAGGGAGGCCCGGCCTTTAAAAAGCCCCGATAAGATGTGCCCATGAAATATGCGCGGATTCTGTTGACTGTGACCTCCGTGAATGACAATCGGGTCCCAGGAGATAATGGGGAAGGTCAGGCGCAGCAGTACCAAGCTGCAACAAGCAAGAGGTGAATTCCCATCAGGCACTGGGACCCGGCCTTGTGAGCACGTTTGCTAAGTGACCAGGGGCCAGTACTACGAAGCGGGGTTACTGGCTTATCGGGGTAACTTCTCGGATTTAAGGTGGTTTGGGCAAAACGTAAGTGAACGAATATGAAGTCCATTTAAACTGTGGTACCTTAAATCCGACAAGTTACCCCGATAAGCCAGTAACCCCGCTTCGTAGTACAGGACACAAGTGGCTTAGAGGCCGAGGCAGATTTTGCCTATATACTGTACTTCATGTCACACTTCTAAGCTAGTTTATTAGAAAACTGAGCTGGACTCAAAAGTAAGTGTGGGATAGTAATGATGTCCACATCCTACATACTAAAATAATGCTTTTATTAATCACAACTGATGCCTGGGGTTATTTCAGTGTCCTTCATATTGACACCAAAGGCTCTAATGATAGGCCTGCTTCTTCAAAATTAATTACACCCCGAAATCACAGGAGTCGTCATGCCTTGTGAGGCGACAGTGATAACCGCCCCTTTATGTGTCCATTAAATTAATTTTATTTAACTACAAGTGAAAAAGCACATTACCTTGTTTGTACTAGAATACATCAGGATTTTGTTCATGTGTTCGAAAGGTGCTATATCCAGAGGTGGATACATAAAATATATTGAAATCCTTTTTGTGAAAGTATAACGAATAACGAAGAACATATTTGAAACATTGTTAAATCTAGACCAAGATTTTGTTTCAACCAATCAGCTGAGTACTCTGTGACGGTGACTCTTTATATTCAACTGGTTGGATGAAATAAAATCTTGGTCTGGATTTTTGCTTTCTAGACCTGAACTATCTACCTCTGGATATATTACATCTGTATTAAAATGTGATTGTTCAATATTAGGTTGATAGAACGTCTCTAAATTTATTATCTGAGAAACACTGAACTAATATGTTGCAGTGGCACGTGCCTTACAAAAAACACAGATAGAGCTATTTAATCTATCACTGAAAAACCACTATCAACGCGTTTATATGAATTAACAGCTTACGTTAACAATGTTTCAAATATGTTCTTCGTTATTCGTTATACTTTCACAAAAAGGATTTCGATATATTTTTAAGCCTAACAGTGTAAATTTCTTAGCAAATGTGAACAAGAAATAGCAGGTAGAAAAGACTACAATTAGGCCTATATTAGACAATTTAAGGCAGATCATTATAAATGTCATTGCTACTCATATCGCCAATTTTGCATTTATCAGTCGTATATTTCACTTCTTCAGTTCCATGTCCATTGTTCCGCGAATATTCATATGTAGCCTACACATCCCAGTAGCCTTTGGGGCCAGCCATCTCGTCACGTGTTCGCCGAATTCACGGAAGTCACGTGGGGTGGATCAGCGCCAGTACTTGTTGTTGTTGTTATCAGCAAAATGGCGTCTGGTGGTGAGGCCCCGGAATCATGGTACCTTGCCCTGCTGGGCTTCGCAGAGCACTTCCGCACGTCGAGTCCCCCTAAGATTCGCCTATGCGTGCACTGTCTCCAGGCTGTCTTTCAGTTCAAGCCGCCGCAAAGGGTGGAGGCGCGAACCCACCTCCAGCTCGGCTCGGTGCTTTATCACCACACGAAGAACAGTGAGCTCGCCCGGAACCATCTGGAGAAAGCGGTGAGGGATAGGCTGGGAAATGCCGGGGATGCGAGAGGGAGGCGGGGGACGGAAAAGGCCACGCATACGATGCTCCATGACACTTAGCTGTAGTTTTACGAGAAAGTGCCGCTGGTCAGACATGCCGGCCTCAGGAGTATCTATGTTACCCATACATACGTGTGTGCATCTGCTTTCCGACCTTTCCAGGTACTACACTACGTTTCAACTTGCTAGTCAGGCAGTTTAGCCTGCCGTAACCTATTTTCATTATAAACTTAAATTAAAAAAATGCACCGTGGTAAAGTTACACATTTAACTGCATTTGGCCACATAGTAAGTATAACGCTCGCGTCACTTGCAGATAACTTGTTGCATCGTTTTTTTGTAAGTAGTTACAAAATGAAAATTGTTTTCAAGGCATATGCGTGTTTTTAAGTGTGCATGTTTTTAATCATTCTTTATCTATGATTATTTTCCCCCGCAGTGGATCATTTCACAACAAGTATCCTTTCTTGTCAAACTAGCACCTGTCCAGTTGTGTTTATCATTTAAGTAGCGGGTCATTATGCAAAATCAGAGCCAAATATTTTAATTGACGATGTACTTTTTTTTGTGCGCGCAGCTTTATTGTGAATTTATCTGACTGAATGACCTGAAGATGGACTTCCCCGTCACTTTAATGTTGTTTAGATATTTCCGTTACTATAAAAGAGGAGATTCCTTTACAGGATTTAACAGGTTCCTCAGTTTGAAGATGTCAAATTTGAAGCTGCAAGCCTTCTCTCTGAACTCTATTGCCAACAGGTAAGAGTTATTTAACACAAATTTAAGCCTAAAAGTAAAATATTCTGCACAATTGTTCTTTGTATATAGTAACTTTCTTACATATGTCATATGTGTTAGAAATTGTTAAAACAAAAAAGTTGAAATGACACGTCTAATTAATGACACGCTACTTTGTCTCCTTGCAGAATTTGGTGGACTCTGCAAAACCATTGCTGCGCAAAGCAATCCAGATCTCCCAGCAGACCCCCTACTGGCACTGTCGACTGCTGTTCCAGCTCGCGGTATGTCCAGGGTTCCCCTTTGGTTAGGTCAAATGGGCTTTATCGTCATACCATCCATATGCTGGTATACGGTGGAATGAAATAATGTTTACCCTAGTCAGGGTGCAACATACAAACAGAATGTAACTCTGGGAGGTATTTCACAGCATTAAACATATGAAGCCCAGTGTGAAACAGGGGGGCTGGACACAAGGGTTTATATTAGAGGTTGACTGATGGGGGTTTTTCAGTACCCGATGGCCAGTGGGTGATATTAGGCTGTTTTTTATGTAGAAAAATAACAAATGAGTAACAGAAGTGCTTAACTTTAAATATTTATTTAACATGAATAACACGCAAAAACAATAATTGTTTAACTGTAAATATTAATCACACTTTAAACTAGGGCATGCAGCATTTTGAAAGTAATAGGGAAAAACAATGACTTATTTAAACCAAAACTGAAACCTAATAGGAAAAGAGGCAAGTGACATTCCTTTTGGACAATCCTTACATTTGGCTTAAGTCATCTGGCTAATGAAGAAATCTTGCTTCAATGGTCGCTGGAACTCTGTTATTAAACAAGAAGTGGTTGTATATGCTTTTAAGCATTATTTGCCCTTTATCCAATTATTTGTTAGTGCTTTGAAATGCAGGTGTTACGTTGTGGTTGGTATGGATGATTGTCCAAAAGTTCAGGGTTATAAATCCTGAATGTGACTTATTGTTTTTTTTTTTTCTCCCCCCCCTAGCAACTCCACACGCTGGAGAAGGATCTGGTGTCTGCGTGTGACCTTCTAGGTGTCGGGGCGGAGTATGCGAGGGTGGTGGGCTCTGAGTACACCAGGTGCCGCAGTCACGACTGTGATGTTAATAACGCTGACAGTTCGTCACAGCGCTGAACATTTCCTCTTATTAAATGATATTAAATGTATCAGGAGCAACTGCAGGCACATTAGACTGTAAATTCTGTGCTGTTTCTCTTTCCTCTGCAGGGCGCTCTTTCTCTTGAGTAAAGGCATGGTAAGTCTTTTGTCGTTTTAATTGAACAAAGTGAATCGTGGGTTGTTCTTTACAGAAGCCCCTTAAGACATGAAATTAAGTGACTTGTGAAAGTCCAAAAGGGATGAATCTTTCCAGTCTTTGCCTTTTCGTCTTATAAAGTGTTAGTGGAGTTGGCTAATTATGTAATGATCTGGCACTCGTCCACCGAGTGACGCCGCCGTTGTGTGATGGTTCCTCACTCCAGCTTCTGCTGATGGAGCGCAAGCTGCAGGAAGTGCACCCCCTGCTGACGCTGTGCGGCCAGATCGTGGAGAACTGGCAGGGAAACCCCATCCAGAAGGAGTCGCTCAGGGTCTTCTTCCTGGTGCTGCAGGTGACCCACTACCTGGACGCCGGACAGGTGAGCGGCCTCAGGCGGACCTCGGCGTTTCGGTGAAGCGCGTCCGTGCTGGTTTTCACGTCGACCGCGCTTGCGGCTTTCTCGCCGGCCAGGTGAAGAGCGTGAAGCCCTGCCTGAAGCAGCTGCAGCAGTGCATCCAGACCATCTCCACCCTCCATGACGACGAGATCCTCCCCAGCAACCCTGCTGACCTCTTCCACTGGCTGCCCAAGGAGCACATGTGTGTGCTGGTCTACCTGGTAAATCTCAGTCCTCTTTAATTGGGAAGGGTTCCGAACGCTGGTGGCTGTCTTATTGCTTCGCCTGTATGCGCCGCTGCCGATTTTAATGCAACTCCTTGGCTCGTCTTGCAGGTGACGGTCATGCACTCCATGCAGGCCGGTTATCTGGAGAAAGCGCAGAAATACACAGACAAAGCGCTCATGCAGTTGGAAAAGCTCAAAAGTAGGCGAACCTGCCGTGCTGCAGTTTAACAATACATTTTATTTAAAGGCACCTTACAAAAGCATACATATGAGCATACATACTTGTATATATGTGTATACATACATTCAAAATTACCATAGTGAAATAAATTAAAAGCTACCTAAATAACAAAGTTATTAAAGTGAATAAGCAAGTTTAAAAAGATTACTTTTCAGCAATGATTTGAACGTAGAGAAACATGTCAATACTACAAATATTGCATTCTGAGAGCATGAAGTCACTCTAGCGCCCCCTGCTAATGACACCCTGTCACTGCAGTGCTGGACTGCAGCCCCATCCTATCCTCTTTTCAGGTCATACTCCTGGAGCACATCATCATGTGCCGGCTGGTCACCGGCCACAAGGCCACCGCTCTGCAGGAGGTAGGCATGCTGCCGCGGGCCTGGGGGGGCACCGAGGGTGCAGATAGGCTTCAGGCTTTGTTTGGGGGTGGAAAGGTCTAAAAATGGCACGAGGAACATATCACGTTATGTGATGCGGTGCGGGAGATAGGGGCCTGCAGAGACTGGCCAGAGTTGATGGATTCTCATAGTAAAACGTTTGCTGGTCTGCTGAACAGCGTGCGTTATCAAAGCAAGGGTCTTTGATGCCTGAGAACATGCCTGATCTGTGTGTTTATATGTTTTTTTAATTTGATCTAAATCTTCTCTTTGTACTTCAGAGCAGGGCCTTTAAAATCTCCTTTAATGTAAGAATCGCGGGACTTTGGGGAAGAAATGGCATTTATCTAAAAATGTGCTGGTACGGATTCAATAAAAATGTGAGGACAGTAGGTGGGGTCCGGGACAGTCGGTGTGTCAGTGAGTCAGGGCCCTGAGTGGGAAGGGCGTCTGTGACGTCTCTGTCTGTGTCAGTGACTCCGGCCCCGAGCGGAAAGGGCGTCTATGACGTCTGTGTCAGTGACTCAGGGCCCTGAGCGGGAAGGGCGTCTATGAGGTCTCTGCCTGTGTCAGTGACTCGGGGCGTCTATGACGTCTCTGCCTGTGTCAGTGACTCGGGGCGTCTATGACGTCTCTGCCTGTGTCAGTGACTCGGGGCGTCTATGACGTCTCTGCCTGTGTCAGTGACTCGGGACGTCTATGACGTCTCTGCCTGTGTTCCTCGTCGCTTAGATCTCGCAGGTCTGCCAGCTGTGCCAGCAGTCGCCCCGGTTATTCTCCAGTCACGCCGCTCAGCTTCACACTTTGCTGGTGAGCACCCCCGCACCCCCCTTTCTGTTTGGGTCACTCAGAGTTACGGCAAGATTGCGTCTGACCCGACGATTTCCGCACCTTCCACAGGGGCTGTACTGTATATCCGTCAACTGCATGGACAATGCGGAGGCACAGTTCACCACGGCGCTGCGGGTGAGTCTCTGTGGCCGCGGTGGTGCGAGCATTTGGCTGCAGGTTCGAACGGGTGCCTAACGGAGTCTCTCTTGCAGCTTACCACGCACCAGGAGCTGTGGACGTTCATCGTGACGAACCTGGCCAGCGTCTACATCAGGGAGGGGAACCGACACCAGGAGGTCGGTGGATCACGTTTATAAGCCTGTTATCTGGGATCTGGAAATTGATGGGTCAAGCACAGTGGTGGGGAATTGATTTTAAAGTGTTTGGTTTTGTCTTTAAAGCTGTACAATCTTCTGGAGAGGATAAACCCAGATCAAAGTTTTCCTGTAAGGCAAGTAAAACATCTTTCACTTTGTGATCCTGTCCCGCATACAGTATGCCGCTCTGCACAAGACGGCTATTTTAATTTTTTATTTTTCCCAGGCTGTCAGGTGGTGCTGTTATTCCGCTGCATGTTTGAAAGAGATTTTTTAAGAAATAAAGCAGAATTTGGAGCAAGTACAGTCTAAATGAGAGAGGGGTCACGTTTTTTGACTTGGGTGGGTTTTAAAAGGCCAGGCACCCGCGCATGTCAGAACCAGAAATGCGCTGGACCTCTAAACCTGATATGTGTCCTTCCCCCCCTCCTCCCCTCAGCTCGCACTGCCTGCGGGCCGCAGCTTTCTACATCCGAGGACTTTTCTCCTTCTTCCAAGGACGTTACAACGAAGCCAAGTAAGTCATCACCATCTTCCTCTCCTGTTCCCCAATCAGAGGCCGTTTGTCCACACGGAGAGTGAGTTTGTAAGCTCCTGCTGTGAAATGGAAATGAATCGCGTGAATGTAAGGCGACCGTTTAGTCCTAATGAGGTAGTGGGGGGGGGGGGGGGGGGGGATTTACAGCCAGTGTGTTACAGATAAAAATGTTACCATGAGAACCGTACCTGACAGGGAACGGATAACGTCTGGGCAAGCAGCCGCGCAGCCCTGGAACAGAAGTCCGCAGCACATTCCATTGACCCTAACCCTAACCCTAATACCTGCGGGCCCGCGGCGGCTGCTGAGGCATGAGGGGGCGTCGTGAACCTTGGTCACTCTTCTGTTTCAGGCGCTTCCTGCGAGAGACGCTGAAGATGTCCAACGCGGAAGATCTCAATAGGCTGACGGCCTGTTCCCTCGTCCTTCTGGGGCACATATTCTATGTGCTGGGTAACCACAGGGTGAGCGGCCCCCCTGTGCAGGCGTATCTGCACGGCTTCACCACCCTGCCTGCTAGAGTTTTAGGGGCTACAGCGCCAGTCGAAAGTCTGGACACACCTACCCATAGAACGGTGTATTTTGTACCATTATCTTCATTTTAGAATAATTTTAAAGACATCAAAAGTATAAATAACATATTGAATTATGTACTGAGCAAAAAAGTATTAAACAAATTAATTTGTTGGGGGGTGGGGCAGCTTGGTCGGATGGGACGAAGGTTGCAGGGTCAGATCTCGTGGTTGGCGGAGTGATCCCCATTGGGCCCTTGAGCGAGGCTTTGAAGGTCTCGCATGCATGCTGATCTCTCACTGGACACTTTTCCTTCAATTTCTGGTCTACCCCCTCCCAAGCCATTTAAACATTTTATGTTTGTCAGGTGACCTGGTCATGTGATGCGACACTATCGCTATCTTTTCTAGGTGGCTTGCCGTGTCCAAACTTTTGACCGGAACTGTATATCGATGTTGTATTAGACCCATTATTACTGTTGTATGTTAGTTCCATAAAAGCTACAGGCTTGCAATTTATAGGGTGCGTTTGCCTGGAATGCAGTTCACCATAAGAAGCCACCATAGTCTTAACGTACCTTATAAGCTTGGTGTTGACCCAGCTGTTCCCTTCTGTAGGAGAGCAACAATATGGTGGTTCCTGCCATGCAGCTTGCCAGTAAGATCCCTGACATGTCTGTCCAGCTGTGGTCTTCAGCTCTGCTCAAAGGTAAATATGAACTACATCTTCATGCCAAATCCTAATCCTATCATCATACCGTTTCTATTGTGCCCCCCCCCCCCAGACTAGAATGCTCTTATTTCTGTGAATGGTGCACATCTGGGGACACTGGCTGGGGTGTTTAATAGTTCTTTTCTGTAGCTTGTCCTGTGAGGTAGCTGTTGATGATTGGCTGAAATGATGCCTGCGGTGAGTGCCCCCTTGTGGCTGGGAGGCGTCATCAGCTCCATTTTTTTATTTATTTTTTTATTCTCTTGTCAGATCTGAACAAGGCTTGTGGGAACACGATGGATGCTCACGAAGCGGCGCAAATGCACCAGAACTTCTCGCAGCAGCTGCTGCAGGACCACATTGCCGCCTGCAGCCTACCAGAACACAACCTCATCAGCGTGAGTGGGCCGGCCGTTAAGCTTCGCGTGGGATTAACACGCCCTGTGCCGTCACTCATTCTGCCCGCACCGCAGTGCAGCGTTAAGGCGGCTAAGGACACCCCGTCATCTTTTCAATGGAATGACGACTATTTGTAGTTGTTGATTATTTCTGTGCCGCAGTAAAGCTTGTTTTGTTGCATGACATCGAGGTTGAATTAGGTCAGGTGAGGTCTGTGTAAAACAAACTGACAGGTTACTGAATATTTCATACTTTAACTCTTAATCAAATGCAGTGTGATACTATACTCTTCATGTTATATCTATGGGAAGTATGTGGATTTAAAATGCTCATATTTACATAGTCGCATGAGAGCAGTTGTGGCGCAGCTGGTGTTCTGAACAAACTGTTCTGTGGTGACTCCCCTTTTCCGGTGCGTCTTGGCAGTGGACTGACGGCCCGCCCCCGGTCCCGTTTCAAGCCCAGAATGGGCCCACCACCACCAGCCTGGCCAGTCTGCTGTGAAGTCAACTGGGACGATCACACTGTGAGAGGGTCTCCCATGCCAGAGAACTCGCAAAACCCTTAAGGGCTCAGCGGTTTGAGTTTCATCTTCAGTTCTTCCGACATTAATTTGTTTGGTTTATTGTTGGAATTATTCGTGGGGGGGGGGGATGTTCAGGTGGCCCAGAAGTGTGCTCTTATAACGGTAATAAAGTACGAGTGGGGAGAAGATGAGCAGCACAGCAACCCTACCTCAAATGGACAGCCCCCCCCCCCCCCCCCCCCCCCCCCACTGCGTGACATGGTACGACCCGCTGGTGGGAAGCCACCTGCGGTACTGTGGCTGATGGGGATGGAGGAAACCAACAAAAACATGGAAGGGATGGAGCCGGGCTTGCCAAGTGTGAGAACATTCCAGCTAGGAGCTCGCTCTCAAGTCTGGATTGTGGTTGTTGACAATAGACTTCTCGGACAGGAAAGTCATCAGAACAACATCCATTTGCTGTCCTGACACTAGATGAACCTTCTGGCATTGCGCATCAGACTTTTTAGGTGGGGAGGACAGCTTAACATCACTGAAACAGGTTGAATTTTACACCATATTATACTTTTTTAAATGTATGTAGTTACTGTTGTGCTGCATATATGAACCTGGCTGTACATCACAGGTCAGTTTTACAAATTAACATTGCTGACAAAAGAAGAGATGCATACCCATTATATAATTAATTTATTTACATTTATATTTTTGTAACTATAGAAAAGGAAACAATTTTAGAGTTTTGTTTACCTTGTGACCTGTTTTGCATATGCATGCAAAAGATTAAAGTTATTGTGGTTTTCATTTCCAAGGTTTTAATAAGTATTAGCACAACTTGTCATAAGTAGGACAAATACTTGGCTTAGCTGTCACTTTATACATATTGAAACTCGTGTGATTTAAAGCAATCACATGTGTAAATATATATGAAAAGCTGTATGACATTTTAGTTCAGGAAAATTAAGTCTTGGGCATAATTTAGCTCAACGGTTTGACTTTGTACCATGTGCATTAGTAACACATAGCATAGAGAACAGAAACCTCCATAACTGTTCATGAAGCGCAGGTGCTTGGACCTGCCAGCAGCCGGCGCTGTTGAGTGGTGATTGAGAAACTTGCTTGTTCCATTGAATGGTTTTGTAATGTTCGAAGTGACTTTTTTTTTTTTTTTTTTAAACTAACGGTAGGAATTTTGCCTCCTATCAGATCTGTAATAAACTTTTCAAGACTTTACATATCTCCCTTTCCTCTCATTGTACTTATATATTTTTTTTTTTGTAATTTTGCAAAAATACAAATATTTTGATCTGTACTGAACAATGTTCGCTGTATCGTGCAGCATACAGATTTTAATTTCTTAATATTTTATAAATTTTTGGTATTTGTAGTGGTCTATCTTTTCTGCCCCCAAAATATTAATGTTTGGTTTATGAAAAGAACTTATTTCTCAGTCAGTCAGCTTTGTTTGTTATTAAATAAGTACATCATTCAGTTTTGATAAATGTGATGTATCCTAAAGCTTATGCAAAACACTAAAGGTATAATATCACAATTCTACTAGCCAGGCAATTACTTAACACCAGGTTTTAAATGTTTCAGTATTGTTTTTGAAAGAGTTAATGTTTTTGGAAATAAAATATAAACAAACAGTTTTTGTAGTTGCCCAGAACTGTCAAAGCATGTTGCATCATACTAAGGAATTCCAATACTTATAGCCATTTGAAATATATATTACAAATGGGTGGGTATTTATGGGCTATACAGATTTAGATATCAAAGTGGTTTTTCGTTTTTGCAGCTACATTCTGGTACTGTTTGAGGTTATTCAACATAGTACAGCAGCTATATTGAACATGCAATAATACAAACAAATCAGGTTTCTATCACGCCTGCAGCTACTTGATTGAGAGCCTGGATTGTATTTTTGTTTATGGCTAACGTCAGTCATGTTCTCCAGCTTTCAGATATATCACAACCCATAACGCAAAGTCGTGTTCAAGTAAAAATAAAGCATCCAATCCCATTTAAGCAACATAAGTGAGTGGTTAGCAATTTCCACGTATTATTTTAAGTGTTTGAATTGCATGGCTAAGGTAAAAAGTTCATGTCGATTGTTAATTTTTTGCCCACTGACATTAAATTGTCCGCATCCAACAAAATACTGGGACCTACAAAATGTTTCTCTTTCAAAATATTCTTCGCTGTGTAGGCTAAAGAAGTAACAAACATTTTTGTGTTTTACATTGCGCCAATTTTAATGTGACGATAACATGTTACATGCAGCTCCTGATGTCCTTCTCTCTCTGAACCGGACCAGGCGTACTCTCCCAAATACTCCTGATAGCAACTTACACAGTCGCACCCATTCGGTTGCATGGTTCCAACTATGTAAGTTGCTAACATAGCTAGCAACTTTGCTATAGGGAAACGCAGCTCAAAACTTATCATTAGTCATAAAGCATGGAGTGTAGAGGAAAAAAGTCCAAGACGACCACAAAAATAAATGTCCCAGAACTTCATTTGGGTATCAGCGTACCTACCAGCTTCATTGGAGTTAATTATAGAATTCATTTTATTACAGCATCATTCCAAAATGGTAATTAGTAATAATGGTTAATATCAGCAATATGACACTTCCTCTCCGATTCCCCAAAGACTTTTTTGCTGGTGTTTCTTCTGGTGAGTAGGATTGCCAATTAAAGCTTAGTGTCACACCTACCGAGGTCCAGCCAGTGGTGAGAATCGAGCCCCTCTTAAGTGGGAGGCAATGGGTGTAAATCACATCACATATCAGTCAAGGTCTTTAAGGGTCTCCACCTGCATCTACAGCTCGTATTTCCTGCTTTCGTAAAATTATCTAGTCACATAATGCTACATAATTGCAATATATATTTAATTTGTTCATGAAAACATATAAATGATGGCAGTAATTATACAGTTTTGAACCAAGGTTGGATCAAACCTATATGGATATTGCCTTCTAAGAAATGAGTTTAACACCCCTGATGGATTTTTTCCTGTTTACATTAATTAGCCTGCTGTTATACCAACTTGCCCTACTTAGCCTTTTGAGGTCAGAACATGTTTACTGGGTTTATATATGTTTGCTCAAACTACCACTGTTACCAAGTATACGGTGATCCAACCTGCTTTATCCGGAGATTGCATGGTTGTTAACATACCACCCATTAATCTGAACAGAGCAGTGATATAAATTATTTTATTTTATCTTATTCTTGTTTAGAGTTAGTGTTGGTAGACTGGTGTTGAGGTTTCTGAAGTCGCTTTCAAGAACCAACCCTTCTCTAAACTGCTTGTGTGAGAGTGTGTGTGTGTCTTCTGTGGTGAACTAGCACCTTATCCAGGTTGTACCCCAGCCTTGTGGCCTGAGAAAAGCAGTTGGTGGATGGATGGATGGATGGATGGATGGATGGAGTTTCAGATGTTTCATGTGAAATATCCTGCCACTATTTAAAGCAGTGGGGGCATTTCACTTGACCAAATGACGAGGGGGGGTCAGGGGCAGCTGGCTACTGATAAATTTCTTTGACTGACCACAAACCACCATTCTCAGACACCATCGTTGCTGATGCACTCTTGCCGCCATTGACTGAGCCTAACAGGAAGCAGCTTAACGGTGGTGTTTATTTATGATGATGATTTTAGTTGTAATTAGTTTGTGGGATGTATATTGAAATATTGAATGTCCCTGTGTGGTTTTGTAGCAGCTTTGCCTTTTTAGTGAGTAATATTTGATGTGATGGATATCATTCATATGTCTCTGCAGAGCTATATTGAATAAGCATCTGAAATCGTCATGGCAACTCTCTTACACAGCTCTGTTTGTGGGTATTGCAGAAGTTGAAGCACAGTAATGATGTCTTGAAAGTTTTTTTTTCATATTAATGAGCTTCTTTATTTTAAAGCATATTGTTTGTTGGAGGAGGGAAGAAGGCGTATACATGACACTTTCTAGAATTACATTACAGCCAATTCCCATGAATTACAATGGCGGTTACTGCCAACACTGAGCTAAGTCTTGCATGCATAGTCACATGACTCTGTTTGGTGTTGAGTATTGCTGACATTTTTCTGATAAGGATTAATCTCCAAAGGTTTGCAGTAAGTTTGTTCAACCCAAGCCAGGGCTTTTGGTTTCACTTTATCTCACGGCTTGGTTTAAGATAAACCTCAAAACACATCGCAGGAATTGTTGTGCAATATTGTGATACTTATGAGGTACCTAAATGAGCCACTTCCTGCCAAATAGTGATCCCAGACAATCGTGACAGGAAGGGGCACTTCCTGTATTGCTACTGTACTATACTTAAGTTTAAAGTTAGCCTGTTTATTGTTGTTTATATCAGCCATTGTCTTATATTGGCCATACAAATTGAAACTCTTTTAACATTCTAGAATCAAAGGAGTTAAACTTGGGTTGTGCTGTAAAACTTAAAAAACATGGAGACATTTGGATTTATTTTGTGTCTGTTGTTTGACTCCAGTGACACTTCTGATGGTTTTTCTGAAATATTTTGTATTCTTTTAACAAAAAGCTTTAAATGAGTATTTTGATTCTGACATATGTGGTATGAAAGTTACTATTGACTTAGCTCTTGTATGAAATATCATAACTCTTTTCACTCAAAAATTGAAATGTCTGTATAAAGCAGCCTCCCCCTGTCATTACACTGGTAATGTTTAGATGTTTAGTAGGTTCTCAGAAGGCTTTCACCTACTGAGGATTTAAAATTATGTTTAGCAGATGAGTGTATAACTCACTGGGCTCCTCGAACGCACGTAACAAGTGACTCGACGGTCATGTTCAATTTGAATCATTGTTATTTAAAGATTAAATCCTTTATTTTCCATTTGCCCAAGCACAATGGAATGCTTCTCTTTGTTTACCCCATCTTGCTCTCCACAAAACACATGCAGGTGAGAGCAACCTTTGGGAGACATGGTGCAGGGTGAGGTTATGCTTTCCCTGGAACTGGGAGGCAGACTTAAGGAGTTTGATAATGGGCCTATGGACATGTGACAATTCTACTGGGATTTGAACCAGGGATTTTCTGACCACAGTGATAGGTAGTTTGCCCACTGAGCCACTCACTGGGCCTAGTATGTAGATGGATCTAATGATAATTCTAGTAAGACAAGGAGTAAGCATTGTGTCTTTCATCAATGCCATCAACCCCCTCGGCTATTTCCTGCTTCTTGGCCATATTATTTCATACAGAAATGTATGTGTGTCTCTGTCTTCTTTGCAATTCTTTGTCTGCTTTGCCCTTTGTTGATAAACCTGTGTTTGTGATACACTGAATAAAGAATACTCATATTAAGACTAAAAGGCGATTGTAAATTGATAAATGCATTACCGGTCTAAAGTAATCATGATGAAATAGACCACAGATTGCACCACACATATCCATGAATGTGAATACAGAATATTTTCATTTCACCTCCATACAATTTCTAGCCTAGGAAAAGCTTTTTCATGTTTAAGATGGAATGATTCATTTCTGTAATTTAAGCTATGGTAGGCTGTAGGGAAAATTTTAAATGGAGTTCACAGTATTCATCAAAGCTGAGTCATTCATTTATTGATTTATAATAAGCTTTATTTAAAGATTTATATCTAGTCAGAGGCAGCCAAGGAGGGATGACATTAAGGGTCTTCAAATGGCATACAATTTCCTTCTCTTTAAAATATTGCCAGAGAAAGTTTTTTAGTGTGACATAGGTCAGAAACATTCTTTTTAAAATACATTTACTCACAATTTCACCTAGATTGGTCTGAGATGCTGACTTGTCAAAGGTATCAGTCTAAACTGGCATGTACCAACTAGTGCTCTTCAGTGTGGTGACAGATGTGGAGCTCTTTAGATCAGGTTAACCTCAGGTTAATTCTACATCAGTATCCACTCTCCAAATGTCTATGGATGATGTTGGGTAGACAGTGAACAGTGAGACTTAGAAATATGTCAGCCATTTGTAAATATGACTCCCAAAGGTCAGAAAGACGGCATGGTGTGTTATCATTTGAAGATATTCGTCAGAAGCAAAACATTATTAGAAGGCACTGAGCTGCTGTTCAGGTTAAGTTAGTACAGACTGGTGCAACATTACATATGAAATAAGCGAAAGATTGGAGTATTCCTTCTTTTACAGCTTTGGGAAAGATTAGGAACTGATTTGGGAAGTACCTGTGCAACACGTTCATGAACAATCCAAGGATATGCTTTTTCCAATAGTGAAAAACAACAACAACAAAAAAAGAATTTCAGTTGTGATTCCAAAAGTAAGAGAACCATCTTTTCCTATGTGTTAAACTATCACACCAACGGTAAGTTCATTTTGTTAGGGGAAATATTTCCAAAGCGAAAGTAATGTTGCCTTGTCTGTTATTAAAAGTATCAAGTGATGAGGTACAAACTGGCTGAATGACAGTCCCCTGTCCTTCACCCTCTTCTCAGCTGAAGCAAAATATGCGTAAGGGTTCTCGGACATTATCATAGTACAACCTGGTGTGAAAAATGTATTTTACATTTTTCATCTGACTTCCTTGGTGATGTCCAGTAGTTCTGCCTCTGATTTCTTGATTCTTTGGTGGTGGTCAGTAGTTTGTGTGTGTGTGTGTGTGTGTGTATGTGTGTGTGTCACAGAGAGAGAGAGAGAGAGCGAGACCTTGGTCCCCCCTGCTGAGCGAAAATGCGCATGTCCGATGCAGTGACGCCGCAGCTCCATGTGTGTGAAGCGCATTATTTGGCAACGGGAGAAGCAGCGGGGAGGGTTGATAAAGGGGGATCCCCAGGATTTTTTTTACACCGAAATACCGGGGTAAATACTCATCCGAACCTCGAGGAAGAGCCGGAGGAGAAACGTGCAGCGCCACCCCAACTCCGTAAGTTAGGATGTATTTACAGTGTTTCAGCGCTCAGCCCGTTTCATTCTGAATTAGAGCCGCTAAACCGAGGGGAAGTTTTCTCCCCTAGTAGCTTCCAGCTAGCTATCAGTGGTGACTAGGCGTAAGGTAATGGTCCGTGCGTAGCCTGCTAGCCGTGTAATTAATACACCTCTCCGGATCGGTGAAAACAAGCCGCCGGGGCGGGGGGGGGAGGTTGGAAAAGTCGCCCGAATCCATTTAAACTTGGACCGGCGGATACCTTAAATGTCAATGGATGTAACTGGACCGCCGAGTCACTTGTTACGCGCGTTCGAGGAGCCCAAACTTGCCGGGTTTAAGCGTGAATTCGGCGTCCGGAGTCGTAGAGTGTCTGCGCAGTCGGGCGAGTCTTCGTGGGAGTTAGCCGGCGGTGGGTAGCGGGCTAGGCTAGGAGCGCAGCCGCTGGCCGGGACCCTTTCTCGGTCGGGGCACTTAGTTAGCGGCAAAGTGCGTCGGGTTACCTGCGGGGCTGCCCTCGGCGACGCCTTTGCTGCTAGTTTATGTGAGGAAAGTTTGAACAATTTTAATCTCTGCCTTTGGTTACGAGGTACCGAAGGCTGTAGCCAACTAGCTGGGGGTGGGTAGCTAGATAACCGACGAGCCATCAGTCTGAAAACAAGGTGCCAGGTCTGCTTTTTTTGTTTTCTGGCGCAGAAAAAAAGTTGCTAGGGACCCTTTTACCTTTTAAAATGATATCCTGTTTTACTCTTTAATAATTCAGCATATTAATCAGGCGGCCATCGAGTGGTAACATTTCGGAGCCGGTGTTTTATTAAGTATTAGTTGCTGTGGCAGATTTGTTTTATTTTGGTGGGGGTGGGGGGTCGAGGTAGGAATTTCTGATGGCTGATCAAGGAGGGGGGGGGGTCACGGCAGTGTAATGGTGGACCGTGTTCGTGTGCCTTAGTTTTAGCCCCCAGTCGTGGCACTTAACCCGACTGGCAGCCCGAGTGTGTCGGTGTCAGAATAAAAGTCCCCGTGCTCTTCCTGCTTCATCGGACGGCCGCTCTTCCTCCTCATCTTAAAGGGGCCGCTACACGTCCTGGCGCTGCAAGCCTGAAACTGGGCGTCATTTCATCCCAACGCTCTCTCGAAACGTGCCTTCATGATTTGTTAGCCTCATCTGGATTTGCCAAGGCATCAGTGGCCGTATATCCATAATGTGTGAATTTATCATTTGTTGCAAAATGCACTGTTTCTGTTTTGTGACACATTGGAGGGGGGTTTAAGACTTGGTTCTAAAATTCGATCACATGGGGTTAAAGTGAACTTGAATGTGACCCCTTTTGTTTTTAACAAAATAATAATCTGACCTTTGTCTTTTTTGTAATGTTCCTCTTCCCACACTGCCTGGACTAGCAAGTTGGTGCTAGAAAAACAGTTATTGGTCATATGTGGTCAGTATTTAGACTCCTGAAATCATGAATGCACAGTTTGCATAATCTTGTACCGTTCCAACGGAATGGGCTCACTGAGGTGTTATGGGGGACCCAGCCTGCGCTGTGAGCCTAGTATGTCACTGTTGTTCATCCTTGCCAACAATTAGCTAAATGCCGTTGAATTACCAAAACCAATGAATGACCTAGAAAAAAGGTGCGTTTGGATGCTGGGGGCATTTACATTAAAACTTTTCTCCAGTTGAGGGTGACTTACAGCTGCTTTGTGCTTATGTCTTGACACATTTCTGTGATCCCTAATGGCGAGAGCAGTTTATGTGAAGCATAAATCGCTTTGATGTGCATGGGAATGTGCGTAAGGTGTTACTGCACCTGCCTCTCCAGATAACATTTGTGTCCTTTGGCAGAAAACGATATTGCAGTGGAGGCCTTAGATGGACGTCAACATGTGTAACATGGAGCAGTTCGGTATGTCTGCAAAAATTCCTTTTGTCTTATTTGGCAAAAGGATACTGAATGCTCAGGAGATCATATGGGTCTCGCGTAACTGTTCTCCCCTTCAGAAATGACCTCTCACACGTAGTTCTTTAGTAGTTAGAACTTTTATTAAAAATCCACCCTTTCCCAAATTTCACTAAGCTGCTTTTAGAATAAGGAAATCATTTAGTTAGCTAGAATGGTTCCATCTCCATGGTTCCTCCTGAAGTTCTGGAATGGGCACCAAATAATTTCTCTGTGTGATTGCATGCTCTGGGCTGCCTGCTAAAAAAACCAGAGGTTTCCTCTGCTGTTGTCTTGGAGATATGTCTGCAAAGTGCCAGTGTAAAAGAGTTGGGTATCATTCCTTTGCCTGCATCAGAGGAGGCTGGGACGTAGGAACCGGAGGTGGACGTGCCCCCCTCCCCCAATATTTAATTTGGCTTCATTCAACCCCCTAATACACAAACTGCTGTATTTAAATTAAGTTGTCCCCCCCCCCCCCCCCCAAATCTCAAACTCTCTCCTTATGCCACTTGGAGAGGAGGTATTTACTATCTATCACTGAATTTTAATATTAGGTGATGTCTTGAAGATCCTTTGTAGAAACTTCTTTTTGTATTTTATCTTTCCGCATATTTGTTTAATGGACTTGAAAGGCAGTTCTGTGGAAATTCCATTAATAACTAAAAATAATGGCAATTCTAGACAAGTGTGTGTATGTATGTGTTAAAGTAGGCTGTAGAATTTAGAAACATCTCTCTTTGCACGCATGATGCTCTTTATTCAGTAGGGTTTAGAAGAAATAGTTTTAATACTTATGAAATGTCTTCATAGATGACTCACTGAAATGGATTTCTGGATTTTGGTTCACTGTATAACTGCTGTTAATCTTAATGTGACACAGCAGGTCAGATAATTGTTATTAAGAAAAAAATTGACAGTACTCTCTTTGTTTAGGAAAGGTGTGATATCTAATCCCATAGAGACCCTGAAGTGTTACATTTTTTTTTTTTGTATCCAAAGCCTAGTCCTTCAGTTTTGAGTTTCATCATGGTGTCATTCATTATGGCTGCCAGATGGATTTTGTGTGTGTGTTTCTATGCATACTTGTGTCTTCTACAATTGCTCTGATTATCCCATTGCTAATATTGAATTGGTTTCTGCAAGGGTAGACTGTAGGACTCGTACAAATTACAACCGTATTATATGATCGTTCCACGAAGAACACAACCATTGTGCAGTTAAGTCAAATACGACTAGTTTGATGGTGGAGGAGAACATCAGTGGTCTTCCACTGTGAATCATTCACATAATTTCTGCTCCATTGGAACTGTTGTAGATGGCACCTGACATAAACCCAAACCCTTGAAGTGTTTGTGTAGCTGACATTTACTGTAGAAGAGAAGCTGCAGAAGACTGACAGATGCCTTTTAATGACCCAGTTATTAGATGTTCAATTCAGGTTTTCAGCAGTCCAGGTGATTTTTGTCTTTGCGGTAAACTGGAGCTGTACATCCGCCTTACTGGATAACTTCAAGCAAGTTGTCACTGTAAACTTCATAAAATGAAAGTCGGGAGCCTTGGCTATTGTGGTGTTTGGCCACTTAGTTAACCTTATTTGAGTAAATGTAAGGATTGCTTTGGGAGTGTGCACGATTGAAGCAGTTCTCCTACACATTCACAGTTGAAGTCCATGGTTTGGAACAAACGAGCCCTGTTTATCGGCAGTATGACGTTCCATGGCGGTCAGTCCTATGGTTCTTATTTCACTGAACCAGCAAAGATAGCTTGCCAGATGTTAGGCTTTTCTTGTCCTGGATCTATACCCTTTCAGCGCTGCTGATGGTCTATTTCAGCAGCATTTTGTCATCAAGGTCTCTGCCTTCTTGACCTCTTGCTTTTTTTACATTTTGGTCTCATTTTCCTGTTTGTTTTTTAAGCATTTTTTTGCCCCTTGACCTGTACCATTCTGCACATTGGCCCCAGGGCAGCACGATCACAGCCTGCCTGGTCTCTAAATGTCAGTCAGAGTGAGGTGTTGAACTGCCACCTGCAGCAGATCGGGCATTTGCCCCAGTCAGGCTGATGCGGCTTGTGTTCCCTCTGCTTTTTCTTAGTGGAGCTTCGTGGATCATAGACTGACTGCGGAGTTTTACATTTGCCATTCATCATAGGTGGCATTTTGAATTTATTGAAATTCTGCCGCAGTTTGTCGCTACGGCATAATACTTCAGGGTTTTAAGTCTTTCCTTTCACTCGCGGGGGTTTTTAAGTAGCTTGTGTGCATTATCTCCATGTCCTTAAAATGTTAATTTCTTTCCAAGCTGTAGATTTAGTTTACATTTAATTGGATATGCCTGTAGCTTATTATGGTTTTAAATATTTGGGTTAGACTGAAATCTTAATTTTGTTTGAAGGTTGTAGCCGAACTATAACTGATACACCAAAGAGATGTATGCAGCTTTGCGGTCTGTAGTCCAAGGTCTAACAAGCTTTCTTGCATATTGCTTGCCTCTTTGAGTGCTAACTCTTGCTAGCATGTTTGTTCTTTGCCCAGTAGTTTAACCCTGTATTTACTGACAAATTTTGGGATGAGTGACCTCAATGGGCATACGGCATAAGTACTCCTGGCATTAAAGTCGGTCGTCTTCTAAGGGCGATGGGCTAGGCAAGAGGTTTCTTGGTCACTAATGGACATTTTAAAATGCGACAGTAGGGAGAGCTGCATGTGCATGTCAAACTGCAAAGATATGGTTGGCTTGCAATAGAAACTTTTATTATGGGTGATTCCATCTGCTGGGCAAGCCTGAATGTTTTTAGCCAGGATTTGCCAAACGCGAGAGGGTCTTCTATTTAAAAATCTGCATAGGTTACAGATTGCACAATAACTGAAGTCTGTGGATACCTGTGACCCAGATTGTGTACTTTGTTTTGAAGTCATACTGTTAGTGTATGAGGTATGACTTTAATGGGTATAGTGTTGAGTACTTCGAAATGCGTTGTGTCTTCTTAGTATACATCTGTGTAGTTCTCAGCTTACAGTTCTCAGACACTGTCTTGGCTGTTTCCCTGCCTTGCATC